ACAAACAGACTGGTAACCAGGCCAGTTCAGTTTCAGATTGATAACACCAACAGACTGGTAACCAGGCCAGTTCAGTTTCAGATTGATAACACCAACAGACTGGTAACCAGGCCAGTTCAGTTTCAGATTGATAACACAAAGACTGGTAACCAGGCCAGTACAGTTTCAGATTGATAACACAAAGACTGGTAACCAGGCCAGTTCAGTTTCAGATTGATAACACAAACAGACTGGTAACCAGGCCAGTTCAGTTTCAGATTGATAACACAAAGACTGGTAACCAGGCCAGTTCAGTTTCAGATTGATAACACAAACAGACTGGTAACCAGGCCAGTTCAGTTTCAGATTGATAACAACAACAGACTGGTAACCAGGCCAGTTCAGTTTCAGATTGATAACACAAACAGACTGGTAACCAGGCCAGTTCAGTTTCAGATTCAACTTCTACTACAATGCTGCACAGATCACACGGATCACACAGATCACACGGATCACACGGATCACACGGATCACACAGATCACACAGATCACAATGATCTGATAAATCCTGTTATTATTTACATGTTCTTCCTTTGATCATGCTCGCTTCTTTTGTCTGTTTCTAGGGTCACAATAACGAAATTCATTACTATTACTAGTATAAACACTAAATAAATACATTATAATAAATACAAAACATTAAAGGCCAAAAATATCACTTATCAGTCGTCACCAAATGTAAATGATTAGAAAGAAGAAATGCTTTCACCTAGTAAACAACTCTAGTCTGGTCAATAAGTCATATTGATCATAGTTTTACATCACTGATTAGAAGACCATTACTATATCTTACTATTTAACCATGCTTTATCCGTCTGGGGCTTCGGATCCTATTGGATGGGATCCACTTGTACAGGTGGCACTAAGTCATAGGGGTGATCTCTGGATCTCTCCGTCTACCTAGAAGTAGATTGGGACCATGGTTCCTGGGTGACTGACTGCAGGAGTCACAACACACAGAGTGCTCAGGTCAGGTCTGACACGATGGTGGATCCGTTGATCTGTCTTCTGTGGAACTCAGTAGATCGCCGGATGGTCTTTTCTCTGACCACACGTCTATCGTGGGGATATTAGGAACATGATGTCACCTTTAGTACAGTTTAAAATCAATAATATGATCCATTCCAGAGGTCCAGAGTGAAAAGTTGTTATTCCCACTGACAGTCTTGGAGGAAACAACAGGTGAATGAGTCTAAGGGTGAAGAGGAGGGGGCTCTCTCTCTCTCTCTCTCTCTCTCTCTCTCTCTCCTCATCAGGGTTTAAAGGGGGAGTGGATCCGTCTCTGTCCTCCTCAGTCCTCAGGGTGTAAAGTAAATACAGAGCCAGTCCAGCTCCAACCCCAGCCTTCCCTCCATCTCTGATATCATCCTCACTATTACATTGTCATCATACATGGAAACAGAGGAGGGCTGGATGTCAGCCAAACGTTGTCACAATGTCAGGGGCTGGGAGGAGGGACCAGGGCCTGTCCCTTCCTCTAGAGCAGGGAGCTGGGGCTCTCTTGGGGAGGGGGTGGGGTGTCTGTGGGGCTGTGGCACATGGGCAGGATGTCGTAGTGGCTGGGGATGAAGTTGAGGCCGCTTGGGAGGTGGCTGCTCCGGGGAAGGTCATAGGGATTCTGGGAGAAACCGGTGGCCATTCCGTTGAGTCCCTGTAGAACACTAACTGTTGGCTCTGAGAGAGAGAGAGAGAGAGAGAGAGAGAGAGAGAGAGAGAGAGAGAGAGAGAGAGAGAGAGAGAGAGAGAGAGAGAGAATATAAACAAAAAGAAGAGGAGAAGTGAGGGAAAGGGAGACTCTCCATTCTCTCTAGTTGAGATAAACATTAAAAGGAATCTCAGATTTCAGTGCTAGTCTCCCCTTGATTTCAGTGCTAGTCTCCCATTGATTTCAGTGCTAGTCTCCCATTGATTTCAGTGCTAGTCTCCCATTGATTTCAGTGCTAGTCTCCCATTGATTTCAGTGCCAGTCTCCCATTGATTTCAGTGCCAGTCTCCCATTGATTTCAGTGCCAGTCTCCCATTGATTTCAGTGCTAGTCTCCCATTGATTTCAGTGCTAGTCTCCCATTGATTTCAGTGCTAGTCTCCAATTGATTTCAGTGCTAGTCTCCCATTGATTTCAGTGCTAGTCTCCCATTGATTTCAGTGCTAGTCTCCCATTGATTTCAGTGCTAGTCTCCCATTGATTTCAGTGCTAGTCTCCTATTGATTTCAGTGCTAGTCTCCCCTTGATTTCAGTGCCAGTCTCCCATTGATTTCAGTGCCAGTCTCCTATTGATTTCAGTGCTAGTCTCCTCTTGATTTCAGTGCTAGTCTCCCATTGATTTCAGTGCTATTCTCCCATTGATTTCAGTGCTATTCTCCCATTGATTTCAGTACTAGTCTCCCATTGATTTCAGTGCTAGTCTCCCATTGATTTCAGTGCCAGTCTCCCATTGATTTCAGTGCCAGTCTCCCCATTGATTTCAGTGCTAGTCTCCCATTGATTTCAGTGCTAGTCTCCCATTGATTTCAGTGCCAGTCTCCCATTGATTTCAGTGCTAGTCTCCCATTGATTTCAGTGCCAGTCTCCCATTGATTTCAGTGCTAGTCTCCCATTGATTTCAGTGCTAGTCTCCCATTGATTTCGGTGCCAGTCTCCTATTGATTTCAGTGCCAGTCTCCTATTGATTTCAGTGCCAGTCTCCCATTGATTTCAGTGCTAGTCTCCCATTGCTTTCAGTGCTAGTCTCCCATTGATTTCAGTGCTAGTCTCCCATTGATTTCAGTGCTAGTCTCCCCTTGATTTCAGTGCCAGTCTCCCCTTGATTTCAGTGCTAGTCTCCCCTTGATTTCAGTGCCAGTCTCCCATTGATTTCAGTGCTAGTCTCCTCTTGATTTCAGTGCTAGTCTCCCATTGATTTCAGTGCTAGTCTCCCATTGATTTCAGTGCCAGTCTCCTATTGATTTCAGTGCCAGTCTCCCATTGATTTCAGTGCTAGTCTCCCATTGATTTCAGTGCTAGTCTCCCATTGATTTCAGTGCTAGTCTCCCATTGATTTCAGTGCTAGTCTCCCATTGATTTCAGTGCTAGTCTCCCATTGATTTCAGTGCCAGTCTCCCATTGATTTCAGTGCTAGTCTCCCATTGATTTCAGTGCCAGTCTCCTATTGATTTCAGTGCTAGTCTCCCATTGATTTCAGTGCTAGTCTCCCATTGATTTCAGTGCCAGTCTCCTATTGATTTCAGTGCTAGTCTCCCATTGATTTCAGTGCTAGTCCTCCCCATTGATTTCAGTGCCAGTCTCCTATTGATTTCAGTGCCAGTCTCCCATTGATTTCAGTGCTAGTCTCCCATTGATTTCAGTGCTAGTCTCCCATTGATTTCAGTGCTAGTCTCCCATTGATTTCAGTGCTAGTCTCCCATTGATTTCAGTGCTAGTCTCCCATTGATTTCAGTGCCAGTCTCCCATTGATTTCAGTGCTAGTCTCCCATTGATTTCAGTGCCAGTCTCCTATTGATTTCAGTGCCAGTCTCCCATTGATTTCAGTGCTAGTCTCCCATTGATTTCAGTGCTAGTCTCCCATTGATTTCAGTGCTAGTCTCCCATTGATTTCAGTGCTAGTCCCCCATTGATTTCAGTGCTAGTCTCCCATTGATTTCAGTGCCAGTCTCCCATTGATTTCAGTGCTAGTCTCCCATTGATTTCAGTGCTAGTCTCCCATTGATTTCAGTGCTAGTCTCCCATTGATTTCAGTGCCAGTCTCCCATTGATTTCAGTGCTAGTCTCCCATTGATTTCAGTGCTAGTCTCCCATTGATTTCAGTGCTAGTCTCCCATTGATTTCAGTGCTAGTCTCCCATTGATTTCAGTGCTAGTCTCCCATTGATTTCAGTGCCAGTCTCCTATTGATTTCAGTGCCAGTCTCCTATTGATTTCAGTGCTAGTCTCCCATTGATTTCAGTGCTAGTCTCCCATTGATTTCAGTGCTAGTCTCCCATTGATTTCAGTGCTAGTCTCCCATTGATTTCAGTGCTAGTCTCCCATTGATTTCAGTGCTAGTCTCCCATTGATTTCAGTGCTAGTCTCCTATTGATTTCAGTGCTAGTCTCCCCTTGATTTCAGTGCCAGTCTCCCATTGATTTCAGTGCCAGTCTCCTATTGATTTCAGTGCTAGTCTCCTCTTGATTTCAGTGCCAGTCTCCCATTGATTTCAGTGCTAGTCTCCCATTGATTTCAGTGCCAGTCTCCTATTGATTTCAGTGCCAGTCTCCCATTGATTTCAGTGCTAGTCTCCCATTGATTTCAGTGCTAGTCTCCCATTGATTTCAGTGCCAGTCTCCCATTGCCGTCAATGAATGATTCACACAAAAGTCAGAGTCATGCTTGCTTATCTCAGCTATGAATCTGGCCCTCCTTTACCCCTGACTGAGAGCTCCTAAACACCCCCTGAGCCCACCTGAGCTCCCCACACCATGTTCGTGTTCAGTAGGGCACACTAACAAAACAGTTTGCAACAGAAAACCACAATTAGTGTTTCTCATTGGATAACTTCAGGTAGTATTTGCCCAGTTCCTCTTCGTTTCAAAACATTTTCTACCTACTGAACATGACCCAGAGAGACAGTCATCATTTCATCTCACTCACCAACATCATATACTGTACGTTACTGTATTACTGTATACATTACTGCATACATTACTGCATTACTGTGTACATTACTGCATTACTGTGTACATTACTGCATTACTGTGTACATTACTGCATACATTACTGCATTACTGTATACATTACTGCATTACTGTATACATTACTGCATTACTGTATACATTACTGCATTACTGTATACATTACTGCATTACTGTGTACATTACTGCTGGCCATAGCGAGGACAGTAACAGTACCAACACAGAAAGAGGACATGGTCCACCGGGGGGACAGGAGGAGGACAGGGTGTCTCCACCAGGGGGACAGGAGGAGGACATGGTGTCTCCACCAGGGGGACAGGAGGAGGACATGGTGTCTCCACCAGGGGGACAGGAGGAGGACAGGGTGTCTCCACCAGGGGGACAGGAGGAGGACATGGTGTCTCCACCAGGGGGACAGGAGGAGGACATGGTGTCTTCACCAGGGGGACAGGAGGAGGACATGGTGTCTCCACCAGGGGGACAGGAGGAGGACATGGTGTCTCCACCAGGGGGACAGGAGGAGGACAGGGTGTCTCCACCAGGGGGGGACAGGAGGAAGGACAGGGTGTCCGCCACCAGGGGGACAGGAGGGAGACATGGTGTCTCCACCAGGGGACAGTGAGGAGGACATGGTTCTCCACCAGGGGGACAGGAGGATGACAGGGTGTCTCCACCAGGGGAATCAGGAGGAGGACAAGGTGTCTCCACCAGGGGACAGTAGGAGGACATGGATGTCTTCCACAGGGGGACAGGAGGAGGACAGGATGTCTCCAACAGGGGGACAGAGGAGGACAGGGTGTCTCCACCAGGGGGACAGGAGAGGACAGGGTGTCTCCACAGGGGGACAGGAGGAGGACAGGTGTCTCCACCAGGGGGACAGGAGGAGGACAGGGTGTCCCACCAGGGGGACAGGAGGAGGACAGGGTGTCTCCACCAGGGGGACAGGAGGAGGACATGGTGTCTCCACCAGGGGGAGGAGGACAGGGTGTCTCCACCAGGGGGACAGGAGGAGGACATGGTGTCTCCACCAGGGGACAGGAGGAAGGACCAGGATGTCTCCACCAGGGGGACAGGAGGAGGACATGGTGTCTCCACCAGGGGGACAGGAGGAGGACATGGTGTCTCCACCAGGGGGACAGGAGGAGGACATGGTGTCTCCACCAGGGGGACAGGAGGAGGACAGGGTGTCTCCACCAGGGGGACAGGAGGAGGACAGGGTGTCTCCACCAGGGGGACAGGAGGAGGACAGGGTGTCTCCACCAGGGGGACAGGAGGAGGACAGGGTGTCTCCACCAGGGGGACAGGAGGAGGACAGGGTGTCTCCACCAGGGGGACAGGAGGAGGACAGGGTGTCTCCACCAGGGGGACAGGAGGAGGACATGGTGTCTCCACCAGGGGGACAGGAGGAGGACAGGGTGTCTCCACCAGGGGGACAGGAGGAGGACATGGTGTCTCCACCAGGGGGAGGAGGGGACATGGTGTCTCCACCAGGGGGACAGGAGGAGGACAGGGTTGTCTCCACCAGGGGGACAGGAGGACAGGGTGTCTCCACCAGGGGGACAGGAGGAGGACAGGGTGTCTCCACCAGGGGGACAGGAGGAGGACATGGTGTCTCCACCAGGGGGACAGGAGGAGGACAGGGTGTCTCCACCAGGGGGACAGGAGGAGGACAGGGTGTCTCCACCAGGGGGACAGGAGGAGGACAGGGTGTCTCCACCAGGGGGACAGGAGGAGGACAGGGTTTCTCCACCAGGGTGGACAGGAGGAGGACAGGGTGTCTCCACCAGGGGGACAGGAGGAGGACATGGTGTCTCCACCAGGGGGACAGGAGGAGGACATGGTGTCTCCACCAGGGGGACAGGAGGAGGACAGGGTGTCTCCACCAGGGGGAGGAGGACAGGGTGTCTCCACCAGGGGGACAGGAGGAGGACAGGGTGTCTCCACCAGGGGGACAGGAGGAGACATGGTGTCTCCACCAGGGGGACAGGAGGAGGACAGGGTGTCTCCACCAGGGGTACAGGAGGAGGACAGGGTGTCTCCACCAGGGGGAGGAGGACAGGGTGTCTCCACCAGGGGGAGGACAGGGTCCCCAGGGACAGGAGGACATGGTGTCTCCACCAGGGGGACAGGAGGAGGACATGGTGTCTCCACCAGGGGGACAGGAGGAGGACATGGTGTCTCCACCAGGGGGACAGGAGGACAGGGTGTCTCCACCAGGGGGACAGGAGGAGGACATGGTGTCTCCACCAGGGGGACAGGAGGAGGACAGGGTGTCTCCACCAGGGGGACAGGAGGAGGACAGGGTGTCTCCACCAGGGGGACAGGAGGAGGACATGGTGTCTCCACCAGGGGGACAGGAGGAGGACAGGGTGTCTCCACCAGGGGGAGGAGGAGGACATGGTGTCTCCACCAGGGGGAGGAGGACAGGGTGTCTCCACCAGGGGGAAAGGAGGAGGACATGGTGTCTCCACCAGGGGGACAGGAGGAGGACAGGGTGTCTCCACCAGGGGGAGGAGGACAGGGTGTCCTCCACCAGGGGGACAGAAGGAGGACATGGTGTCTCCACCAGGGGGACAGGAGGAGGACATGGTGTCTCCACCATGGGGACAGGAGGAGGACAGGGTGGTCTCCACCAGGGGAGGAGGAGGACATGGTGTCTCCACCAGGGGGAGGAGGACAGGGTGTCTCCACCAGGGGGACAGGAGGAGGACATGGTGTCTCCACCGGGGAGACAGGAGGAGGACATGGTGTCTCCACCGGCGGGACAGGAGGAGGACATGGTGTCTCCACCAGGGGGACAGGAGGACAGGGTGTCTCCACCAGGGGGACAGGAGGAGGACAGGGTGTCTCCACCAGGGGACAGGAGGAGGACAGGGTGTCTCCACCAGGGGGACAGGAGGAGGACATGGTGTCTCCACCAGGGGGACAGGAGGAGGACAGGGTGTCTCCACCAGGGGGACAGGAGGAAGACAGGGTGTCTCCACCAGGGGACAGGAGGAGGACATGGTGTCTCCACCAGGGGGACAGGAGGAGGACAGGGTGTCTCCACCAGGGGACAGGAGGAGGACAGGGTGTCTCCACCAGGGGGAGGAGGACAGGGTGTCTCCACCAGGGGGACAGGAGGAGGACATGGTGTCTCCACCAGGGGGACAGGAGGAGGACATGGTGTCTCCACCAGGGGGACAGGAGGAGGACAGGGTGTCTCCACCAGGGGGAGGAGGAGGACATGGTGTCTCCACCAGGGGACAGGAGGAGGACATGGTGTCTCCACCAGGGGGACAGGAGGAGGACATGGTGTCTCCACCAGGGGGACAGGAGGAGGACATGGTGTCTCCACCAGGGGGACAGGAGGAGGACAGGGTGTCTCCACCAGGGGGAGGAGGAGGACATGGTGTCTCCACCAGGGGGAGGAGGACAGGGTGTCTCCACCAGGGGGACAGGAGGAGGACATGGTGTCTCCACCGGGGGGACAGGAGGAGGACAGGGTGTCTCCACCAGGGGGAGGAGGAGGACATGGTGTCTCCACCAGGGGGAGGAGGACATGGTGTCTCCACCAGGGGGACAGGAGGAGGACATGGTGTCTCCACCAGGGGACAGGAGGAGGACAGGGGTGTCTCCACCATGGGGACAGGAGGAGGACAGGGTGTCTCCACCAGGGGGACAGGAGGAGGACAGGGTGTCTCCACCAGGGTGGACAGGAGGAGGACATGGGTGTCTCCACCAGGGGGGACAGGAGGAGGACAGGGTGTCTCCACCAGGGGGACAGGAGGAGGACAGGGTGTCTCCACCAGGGGGACAGGAGGAGGACAGGGTTGTCTCCACCAGGGGGACAGGAGGAGGAACATGGTGTCTCCACCAGGGGGACAGGAGGAGGACAGGGTGTCTCCACCAGGGGGACAGGAGGAGGACAGGGTGTCTCCACCATGGGGGACAGGAGGAGGACATGGTGTCTCCACCAGGGGGACAGGAGGAGGACAGGGTGTCTCCACCAGGGGGACAGGAGGAGGACAGGGTGTCTCCACCAGGGGGACAGGATGGAGGACAGGGTGTCTCCACCAGGGGGACAGGAGGAGGACATGGTGTCTCCACCAGGGGGACAGGAGGAGACAGGGTGTCTCCACCAGGGGACAGGAGGAGGACATGGTGTCTCCACCAGGGGACAGGAGGAGGACATGGTGTCTCCACCAGGGGACAGGGAGGACAGGGTGTCTCCACCAGGGGAGGAGGACAGGGTGTCTCCACCAGGGGACAGGGAGGACATGGTGTCTCCACCGGGGGACAGGAGGAGGACATGGTGTCTCCACCAGGGGGACAGGAGGACAGGGTGTCTCCACCAGGGGGACAGGAGGACATGGTGTCTCCACCAGGGGGAGGAGGACATGGTGTCTCCACCAGGGGGACAGGAGGAGGACAGGGTGTCTCCACCAGGGGGCCAGTAGTGTGTTTACAGGGGCCACCAGCCACCAGCAGTCCCCCGGAGCCAGTAGTGTGTTTACAGGGGCCACCAGCCACCAGCAGTCCCCCGGAGCCAGTAGTGTGTTTACAGGGGCCACCAGCCACCAGCAGTCCCCCGGAGCCAGTAGTGTGTTTACAGGGGCCACCAGCCACCAGCAGTCCCCCGGAGCCAGTAGTGTGTTTACAGGGGCCACCAGCCACCAGCAGTCCCCCGGAGCCAGTAGTGTGTTTACAGGGGCCACCAGCCACCAGCAGTCCCCCGGGGCCAGTAGTGTGTTTACAGGGGCCACCAGCAGTCCCCCGGGGCCAGTAGTGTGTTTACAGGGGCCACCAGCCACCAGCAGTCCCCCGGGGCCAGTAGTGTGTTTACAGGGGCCACCAGCCACCAGCAGTCCCCCGGGGCCAGTAGTGTGTTTACAGGGGCCCACAGCCACCAGGGGGGTATCTGATGGTAGAGTACATGCTGTACATGGATCCCTTTGTGTAATCTATAGAGAACACACACAGGATGGGACAAGGAGATGACAAAAGGACAGGGACAAGCTCAGTGTCAAACAAGGAAGAAAAACTAAATATCCATTGTCATTTTCAGATCATTTCCTGCTTTAAAGCTGCAGTATGTAACTTTTTGGGCAACCCGACCAATTTCTCATAGAAATGTGAGTTATAGATCTGCCATTCTCATTGAAAGCAAGTCTGAGAAGTCTGCTCTATGTGTCCGTTCTATGTGAGCTATTGCTATGCTTCCTGTTCTTAAGTTTAGTTTTTGCATCTTTTAATTTTTGTTTTGTACACCAGCTTCAAACAGCTGAAAATACAATATTTTAGGTTATTGAAAATATATTTCACAGCGGTTTAGATGGTACAATGATTCTCTAAACTAAATATTGCTTGTTTTGTCACAAACGGAAATTAGGCTAAATATTCTAATTTTAGGAACCAAGAAATGGTAGAACGATTTCTGCATATTGCACCTTGAAAGCTTAAAATGTGTGTAAAATGTGTACCTGTTTTCCTGGAGGCTCTTTTCTGTGTCTCTGTGTCCCCCTGGACGTCTGGAACACAGGTAAGAGGTTAGAGGTCAAGCATCACATGAACTTCCCATAGTTCTGTTTATAAAATAATGTTACAGGTCACACGCTTAACAAACTCACATTGACTGCATTTGATACATGTTGTCATAATGACATGTACAGTACAATAGCATCTGTCATTACTGTAATATACAATGTGCCCTGAGGATGCCACTGCAGTAGAAGAAACCTGAAACTAAGACACAGAAACTCTGTTCCTGAACATCTTGGTTTTTCTCTGTTTCTGAACATCTTGGTTTTTCTCTGTTTCTGAACATCTTGGTTTTTCTCTGTTTCTGAACATCTTGGTTTTTCTCTGTTTCTGAACATCTTGGTTTTTCTCTGTTTCTGAACATCTTGGTTTTTCTGTTTCTGAACATCTTGGTTTTTCTCTGTTTCTGAACATCTTGGTTTTTCTCTGTTTCTGAACATCTTGGTTTTTCCCTGTTTCTGAACATCTTGGTTTTTCTCTGTTTCTGAACATCTTGGTTTTTCTCTGTATCAACATCTTAGTTTTCTATTTATCAGAACATCTTTGCCGTGTTCATACCTCCAGCTTGCCTGTCGCTGCTCCTTCACGGTATTCAACACACTTAGCTTACATAACTCAATGTGATGATGATCCTGTGATCCCACAACACAACAACACAAACATCTGCAGAGAGAATAGCACAGGCCTCATGCTGTGGTACTGAACTGCTCTGACATTGTCCTTTGTCATGACTGTCCATACGATCCAAATAGGTCAGATCAGGTTTGCAATGAATAACTTCCACCAGACCCCCTCTCACCCGCAGAGGGGGGGAAGGGGGGAACTGGTGGGGGGGGGGGGGTTGACACCTCACGCCCTGTTGTAAATCAAGGACAGAAGATTCAGGTCTCCCTCTCCAGTGTTCACCAGAGGAATGTGCCTTTGTTTCCACAGACTTTTCCCGCCGAAACTAACACGTTCTAAAGCGAATACTGGAACAATTTTTCTAACATAGAACATGGGGAATGGTCAGAGGCGATCTATAGAACACGAATGTCATTTGGTTTGTTATTTTGTGGTGTCATTAAAAATGTTATAAAGGAAATACTGTACCTTTTAAGTATACCCACTACATCCGATGTGTTGTGCATGAAATATGAAAAAATTATTTAAAGTATTTTTGTTAAGATAGGGATGTGATTTTAGGAGCCATAAGAGATAATGGTTTTACATCAAACTTTCCACAGTAAGTAGCCACACCCCGAGTGAGGTCAGAGAGCGTGTCAGCCTGACGGAACCGCCCCTTTAGACCAGAGTGCATAAAAGGATTGGTAAAGAAATTAACATTTAGACCAGAAAGATGCCTAGCTGCAGCTGTGCGTTTAAAGTGGTTTGAACACGATGTGGAGAACAAAACTCCCCTCCCGGATAATCACTGGTACGGCTGATTAGCTGTCCTAAGTAAAGTATCTTCGGAAGTGAATTTAAGTGGGACCATTCTACTACTCTATCCAAACCATCCTACTAAGCTACTCTCATCACCACACTGGGGAACCATCGATGCGGCTGGCTAGCCTATCTTCACAGAACCAATCTTCCAGAACGAGTGGAAGGAAAATCCATTCTGTAGTTCTGTTTAGGACTACATGACAAGTCACCGGACAACTTACAGAGGACCACAACAGTAGAAGACTTGTAACTGTTGGACAATCAGAGCCTTACGAGCGAGCCTCGAGAAGGCCCGACCAACTCCCTTTCCAGGGCAGCCCGGTTCCGAGAGAGAGAGAGCTACACGGCGGCACCTCACGTAAATACATTCATGATTTCTTACTCCAAGCGGGCGGCGGTTCGTGTGCAAAGTATAGGAGAAATATAAGTGAGAGTAGTTTCTAAATGTACCAACGTTAAGTTTCTCTGTCCCGGGTCTCTCTACCTCTCCCTCTTTTGTAACAAGCAGTCATGTTGTTGTCAGTCCGCTAGGGACCTGTTGTTCATGTATTAAGTGTGTATGATATCCTGTGTTACCGTTTAGTTAGCTAGTAAATAAATAATTAAACCAATTTGTGTAGTACTGAATCATAAGGCTGTTTTCTTTTTGCAGATGGAAGGAGGTTCCGACTGTTCAGAATGATGATATGATATTATTGTAGGTGTTATCTCCCCAGTGGTGCAGTGGTCTAAGGCGCTGCATCGCAGTGCTAGCTGTGCCACTAGAGATCCTGGTTCGCGACCGGGAGACCCATGGGGCGGCACACAATTGGCCCAGCGTCGTCCAGGGTAGGGGAGGGAATGGCCGGCAGGGATGTAGCTCAGTTGGTAGAGCATGGCGTTTGCAACGCCAGGGTTGTGGGTTCGATTCCCACGGGGGGCCAGTATGAAAAAAATAAAAATGCACTCTGGATAAGAGCGTCTGCTAAATGACTAAAATGTAAAATGTAATGATACGAGGTTATGATTAATAAGTTGACTGTTTATCGATGTGATGGGTATAGACCTTCTAGAGTTTAATTCGGGAGATGGTGACTCTTTAAACAACCGCTTCCGTGGTGCCCCCGATCCTAATGAGTTCATTGTTACTTGATTATTTTAAAATCAGGTAACAATTAAACATAGTTCGTTAATTAGAGAAATAACAGTCATCAGATTAATGTCAAAAGTCACGTCATGACACAGCCAAGCACACTGCTTGATTTGACGGTATTTAGTGTAACATTGGGTAACACTTGACGGTATTTAGTGTAACATTGGGTAACACTTGACGGTATTTAGTGTAACATTGGGTAACACTCGACGGTATTTAGTGTAACATTGGGTAACACTCGACGGTATTTTGTGTAACATTGGGTAACACTCGACGGTATTTAGTGTAACATTGGGTAACACTTGACGGTATTTAGTGTAACATTGGGTAACACTCGACGGTATTTAGTGTAACATTGGGTAACACTCGACGGTATTTAGTGTAACATTGGGTAACACTCGACGGTATTTAGTGTAACATTGGGTAACACTCGACGGTATTTAGTGTAACATTGGGTAACACTCGACGGTATTTAGTGTAACATTGGGTAACACTCGACGGTATTTAGTGTAACATTGGGTAACACTTGATGTAAAGCCTGTAGTTATAATGTGAGACTTGTCATGACCTTTATGTCTTCTATCAGGCCAAGGAGATGAGGAGGTAAATGACATTGACTCCCAGTAGAGAAACTCAATTCCAGCCAGTGGTGATAAGGCCTGCTCACTATTTGCATTGCTAGATGTCCCCTGTAGGAATAGTTTCCATAGCTCAGCGATAGGTGTGTGTTTCCATACTGTAGGTGTTATCAGTACATGGCTAGTTCTTTGTTTATCCTGGTCTCCAAGGCGCCAGAACAACTATGATCAGAACCTTGATATAATAGTCTTTGATGGGGAATGGATTCAGTAGCAGTATGACAAATGACTGTTTGAATTGAAATCATACAAAATACAGGAGAGAATGAGGGCTACTGTATGGGAGTTCATGCTTAAGGCAGTTTAGATTGACAATATAGTTAGTCTGGCCAGGCTACAGAGAGGAGAGGAGGAGAGAGGAGGAGAGGGGAGAGGAGGAGACGTACCCAGGTAGTTAAAGTTGGAGTAGGGTTAGAGAGAGAGGAGAGGAGAGAGGAGGAGAGGCGAGAGAGGGAGGAGGAGGAGACGTACCCAGGTAGTTAAAGTTGGAGTAGGGTTAGAGAGAGGAGAGAGGAGGAGAGGAGAGAGGAGGAGAGGAGGAGACATACCCAGGTAGTTAAAGTTGGAGTAGGGTTAGAGAGAGGAGAGAGGAGGAGAGGAGAGAGGAGGAGAGGAGAGAGGAGGAGAGGAGGAGACGTACCCAGGTAGTTAAAGTTGGAGTAGGGTTAGAGAGAGAGGGGGGAGGAGGAGAAGAGGAGAGGAGGAGAGAAGGAGAGAGGAGGAGAGGAGAGAGAAGGAGCCATACCCAGGTGATGGAGGTTGCAGTAGGGTTAGAGAGAGGAGGAGAGGAGAGGAGGAGAAGGCGGAGAGAGAGAGAGGAGAGAGGAGAGAGAGGATGAGGAGGAGACGTACCAGGTAGTTAAAGTTGGAGTAGGGTTAGAGAGAGGAGGAGAGGAGAGGAGGGAGGAGGAGAGGAGAGAGAAGGAGCCATACCCAGGTGGTGGAGGTTGCAGTAGGATTAGAGAGAGGAGGAGAGGAGGAGAGGAGGAGAGGAGGGAGAGGAGGAGGAGGAGGAGAGGAGAGAGGAGGAGAGGAGGAGTAATTACCCAGGTGGTGGAGGTTGCAGTAGGCTCTCCACTCTGATCCATTCCTGACTCCTGTCAGGGAGCTGGACTGATAAAGGAAACGAAAATTAGGGAAAATTCACATCACAGTACCAGTCAAACGTTTTACAACACCTAATAATTCAAGGTTTTTCTGTATTTTTTACTATTTTAATACATTGTAGAATATAGTGAAGACATCCAAAAATGAAATAACACATATGGAATCATGTAGTAAACCAAAAAAGGTTAAACCCCCCCCCCCCCCCCCCCCCCCTCAAACCAAAATATATTTTATATTGTTTAACACTTTTTTGGTACTACATGAGTCATATATGTTATTCATAGTTTTGATTATCTTTCACTATTATTCTACAATGTAGAAAATAGTAAAAATAAAGAAAAACCCTTGAATGAGTAGGTGTGTTCAAACTTTTGACTTGTACTGTAGATATGATGGTATAGAGATATGATGGTGATCCATTGAGAATCTGTATTGCATTTTATGTATATCATGTTTATTAACATATGTTT